TGTTTTTTTTTTTTTTTTTTTTTTTTTTTTGGACTGACTGCATAATGTTGACGCATGGTTTATCGTCTTCAAGTTTATCGAACGAATATTTCGACGTGTATAATTTATAGGCTGCCATTATCCAGCACATTTATCTGCATTTTGCGGAAAATATATAGGCATTCTCTAAAATTACGCAAGACACTTCCTAAGACGCAGTTGTGCTACAGGTAGAAAGCTGAAAATCTTAACTTGATTTAGCTGAATGAAACTTGGAGAAAAATGTACAGAAAAATTTAGTTATTCAAAAACAAATAAAACAATGGAATGGGAATTAAATATCTTCAACCAAGATGACAATCATTTTTTTAAAATGTTTTTCATTGTGGTCCTGGGTATAACGAGAGAAAGATCAATATAATTTTATCAACATTATCGTCATCATTATTACCTTCATCGTAATTATTATTAATATCATCATCATCACATCTGGAAAACCATCAATACGCGGATAAAAATATGCCTATTCTTTTTATTAGCAATATTTTAGTTACACAATTGCTTAGTAAATTAATTAAAGAATGATAATGTTTTCATTACCGTAAATCTGGATGATTTGCTCCATGTATAGACGGTTAGTGAAATGGTAAATGAATAAATTATTTTTAAAATGAATATTAATATAAAAGTAGATTTACATTTATATATCGTGTACATGCCCATACGTTGAGAAAACTAGCATATATTACAAAGGTTTGGATAACACATCAGTACAGTAGCGATTTCCCACTTGGTACCTCGTTTTTTAGTAATAAAGAGGAATTTCTAAACAAATATCAGTAAACCTTTGCTTATACCGTCTACACTTGGACCACAATATTACTTTAATGATTATTATAACAGAGGTGGTGCCAGGATTTGCCAAAAATGTCCCCGACCGAGGGGGTCACCTCCACAATGGGTAAGTAGATGGACGTGATCGTATGACAACTTATTGGATTCAAATTCTAATTTAAACGATTTTTTTTGTCTACTAATATGTTAACAAATTATATTTTTTTCTTTTTCTCGACAAAGTGTGATTTTCCTCCCAAAATGGAGGTCCGCTTTCAACGACAGGGGCCGTCCCCTTCTGCACGGCCTACAACTGAATTAAAACCAATACACTGGCTCTTGTAAACATATATCAATTTAATCATTGATTACATAAGTTATTATATTATTAAGTAATTAAGTATTATTAAGTTATTATACAAACACACAAAACAAAATAATCATAAATTTATTTTTGGATTTAGAAACATCATTTTTTAAATATAATTAAATACCTATTAAGACACATATTATTGTCATCGAATAATTTGACTGGTATAGTAGACCAATATGTACAACTATTCACACTTTAATTATTGTGAGGCTGAGAACAATATTCTTAACTTTAAATTGTGAAATGGATATAGGCCTATACAAACACGCTTTAACAGTACCATATTGATTAAAAAGAAAAAAAATAATATATTAATATTTCTATACCATAAACTATTAAAAAATAATATGTAAGCCTTATATCGAACACTTTTACAGGTACAATAGAAGAACAATAGCTAGTGCATAGACGTTCAGTAATCATTGTTGAGGCTGGTAGTGATTTAGGCTATATACGTTCAAACTGGTTCTTATTTGTGTTTTATAGAAAGGTTGTCTATAAAATTATTCTTGATATTCCATTTTGTTTAAAAGCAGGTGTAGTTACCTGAGTATCTGAGTTGAATGAAACCGAAAGTTAAATGATTTGATTTATACAAACAATGATACAAAATAACAGCAACTAATACGAATTTAATCATCGATGGCGCACTTTGACCAAAAAGTGTTGGAATGTGTCATGGATTTCAATTACATTAAAACAAAATCATAATCATTAACAGCATCATTATCATCATCATCATGGTAAGGGAAGCACTCCAGGTAGAATAAGTACATTTACCCTTTAAAAATACACATTCACATTCAGCCCATATAACATGTAGAGTAGCAATTTCCTACTAGTTGGTGCTCATGTACCGTAATCATTACATAAACAAAAAATAATATCAATTATTATCAAATTTATTTAAGGTTTAATTGCACTATAATTATTAGTGGCGTAATAACATGTTCAGACAATGGCAGCACTTTATATTATTATGTGCTTGCTCTCCATTAGAGTGTCCATAGTTATGGTTAACCGTCTTAAAGTTTGTCGAATGCCTCGACGAGTATAATACAGTACCTGAATTATATTACAGGTCCCACTGAATAGTAATATGTTATGACGGTTCTTACCTGTTATTTGTGAAAGAGCAGTAGGACGTACACCTACACATCTTATGACTATTACAACACAGACGATTTGATCTTCTACTCCGTAAAAAAAAAAAAAAAATCTACACAAAATATAAATAAAACATTCAAACTAATGTCAACTTTTAAACTACTCTACAAAACTGTAATCAGTATTTTAGTAATAATATTATATAGTATGCCAATATCCACAATTATCTATCAAATACAGTAGGCTACATACTGATAACAGATACGTATTGTTGGTTCCTATCTGTGGAAGTGTTGTAGGAAGAATACTTGCACATTTAAAGTCATGAAAACACGTGTATAATTTCA